ATGAACTGCATGACTCATACAAATTAAAGAAGAAGAAAAAGAGCAGTGCCAAGAGCAAATATTTGCTCATTTTTTAAATTAATATTTTTTTGTTTTGTTTAAAGCTATCCCCTTATCAGATACTACACTTAAGAAAAAAAATATCACGCTTTTCCCCGGGCCAGTGATAATGTATTCAACAAACGCAGAAATATTTTACCATGCATATAGTCTGAAAAAGACTAAAAAAACATCCTGTGGGAAAACATATGGCAAATGCACAAAAACACGAGAGGAAACTTGCTGTTTCTGTGGTTTACAGTAAATGAGGTGGACCAAGGAGAAAGCCTGATGTTTCCTTGTTAAGTCTGTGCCACTTAGAGATAACACTTTGGGGACAATACAGATGTGAATTGAGCAAAAGCAAAAGCGCTACAGAGAAACTCACCCCTGTTTTAATAATGTGGGAATCTGCAAGTTTTCTTGAGTCTTTAATATTCAAAGTCCAGCAATGTTTTTCCTCTAAAGTCTTTAACATAAAAGTCTCTAAACCTAATGGCTAATTTGGCAAATGTGGCCCTCTTTTTAAGTTCTGAGGGCCTTTTTTGCATTATAGACTTTGGAGTGTTAACTCTGTGGATGCAGCCCAGCACAGAGTAAATACACACCTTTGATTATGGAAGCTGTGACTTGGTGTGCTTGGATACAGTATGTCTGTAGAGAAGGAGTGTTGGAGGAGATTTGTAAAGAAAAACACAAAGGACAATCACAGCATAGTTACTTAACCTAACTAAATGTCACACCTGTTGACATCTAAAGAAGTCTTTTATTTCTTGTCCTAGGTAAAGGTCGGTAAAGTTGGTTATGCCAGAAACTACTCTAGCAAAAATTCCGATATTTGTAGGACAAATCTGTATTGCTTTTTTCCAGTCAAGCTTAAAGTGCTCTCAATTTAGGTTGCAAAGCTTAATAAATCTCTCATTCGCCGCTATTTTTTCTAGACTTTAGAATAAACAAAGTTCTTACGAGCCTCGGTGAAGACTGTCTGATTGGTTGAGCATCATAAATCTGATCCTCACCCTTACGGTGAAAGTCATTGTGCTGAGGAAATGTCAATTTAGCACAAAGCCAGCATGACATTGGCAGAAAAAACAGTTACGAGTACTGTACAAAACCTGCCAGAAGAGTTGTGAGCCAATTTGTAGCAGTTTAAGATCATCCTGGGCTCGTAGAAACATATTAACACAACACCATTGTTCTCTGTCAAACACACAGAGAAGAAAACATAAAACTAACTGTTTGTGCAGCTGAGGGTTAAAAATGAACACCAACAGCTGCTGGGCCCGGGCTTGGAAAACATTTGCATGTATAATTGACAATATTGTACACGTGAGCAGCTGGGAACCTTTTTTTGTTCACTTGGTTGCTTCTACCGCACGGATATCTGCTTTGGTCTTATTTTTTTTAATATACCTTCATTGTGTTTATAACAGAACACAACAGCTGAGAACAAAGATAAAGACCTGCTGATGAGCAGCTGATGCCAGCAATAGGACTGCACAAACGGCAGAAAGTGCCAGCAAATCATTGTGATTTTGGAGAGTGTATTAAACTGGCCTATAAAGTACTAATTGTGCCCATACTGGAATGAGAAATCTGCATCCAAATGATCCCCTTAGATAATTAAGATAGCCATTGAGCACGTAGCAAACAAGACATGAAAAATAAAACCTTTTCAAGATTATTGCACGCAATCAAATAAGTTAGACTAAATCACTTCTTTCATGTAAATAACACAACTTCCATAGATGGGATTATTAAAGCGTGGATATATTTGTTGAACTCCTTGGCGAGTAAAGCTGTTTGCAACTTATTAGGCACAACAGAGTGTAAATGATACCATAATGCTGCCGTTATTGCTAAATATTAGTCATCCTAACAGGATTTTTTTTGCATTTGTTTGTTTGTAGCAGTAAATACAGAGTCACCCACACTGTCAAAGCTCACAATTCGTCCACTCTAATTGTAAAACAGACTTGAGAATGTTTTTATTGAGGCACAGATGGCATTTTACTGTGCTTAGCAGCTATACACGGATAAATAAATAAAAACTATAGATAAATGCAAAAGCCAAGAACTCATAGGAACTTTTTTTTTTTTTAACTTTTTCTTCTATAGTCTCCTAAAAAAATCCTCCTCATGAGGGCTGGTCCTCTCATTTGTATGACTCTGAGATACATGCATCTGCAGTAAGATCATAGGCGGGCTGCACCGCGGGCCCATCGACGTGAGGGAGGTGCAGCCGTACATGCATTTGAATTTAAATGATGTAATAGACTCATGTCAGTTATTCCTTAATGAGGTTGTTTTAGAGAACTCCCACTTACAAAACACACATTTACACTTATAACCATTCTGAACATGCATCCACACCGACACACGCACACACATGCACGCGTGTCACTGCTCATTCAGCCTTGAACAAAGTGGCTTCCTATTTGGAAACATCTAAACAAATCTTCAATCCACTGTAGGGAAAACAACATTAAAATCGTTTTAGAAATAAGAATTAAAGTTGTTTGGGGGCTGATTTGAAAGCTGTCCTCTGAAGATCAAGACGGCTTTCATTTCAGCTCCTCTTGTAGTCTCTAAACATTTAATTACACTGCCTTTGCATATCTTCAGTGGGTGATTTGTTCAGTCTTAACAAGGATGATAGTTGGCAGGTAAAATGTCATCTTCTGTCTATTTTGTATTTATTTATTTATTTTTACCGAGGTAACAAGAAAATAATTACGCGTCATTTGTGCAAACAAAACGAAGGCCAACCTCTTCCTTTTCTCGTTGCACGAAAGCTCCACCGATTAAAACTCTTGAAGTGTTTCACTGAAAATTTTGTAAATATTAGACCTTGCTCTTGCTTGATGGAAAAAAAAATCCTGCCCTAACCTTGCGTGTAGCACAAGCTGATGTCGGC